CATCCACAATAAGGATGTCGTTCATTTTGTGATGCTGATGATGTATTTAGTCCTGATTGCAAAGGTCTTGATGCTTGTTAAATGACGGACAATTTCTTCGTTACTTTGTAACAACCTAAAATCCAGCTGGATTGTGGCGAGCACAGAAAACTCTGTAACGTACGGGCCGCCCATATCCGTAAGTGTGCGGTGTGTCTCTTCTGGCCGCGCCAGTGTGCCATGCATGTCGACCGGATTGTGTCACGGGGCCGCGCGGTGCCGCCGCCGGTCGGAGCGGTTCGCTAGAGACGGAGTCGGACGGACGGGCGTTTGTCAGTGCCGGCGCCGCCGTGACTCTTTCGGCGATTGTTTTTGCAGTGGTGCGGTCAGTGCGCGGCGTCCGTCCGTCTGTCTGTCTATCTGTCCGACCGTCCGACTCGTCACGTCGCCGCGCCGCAGACGGGTCACACACCGCGGCTTTACTTTCCTCGCTGTCTTCCTGGAGAAGGAAAGGCAGCGGCTTGTTGGCCCTGGAAGCCTGGACGTCTGGGAGTCTGGATGTCTGGGAGTCTGGAAGCCTGGACGACTGAAAATCTGGACATCTGGAAGCCCGGACATCCGGAGGTCTGGAAGCCTGAACAACTGAAAATCTGGACATCTGGAAGCCTGAATGGCTGAAAATCTGGACATCTGGATGCCTGGACATACGGAGGTCTGGAAGCCTGAAAGACTGAAAATCTGGACATCTGGAAGCCTTAAAGGCTGAAAATCTGGACGTCTGGAAGCCTGAATGGCTGAAAATATGGACATCTGGAAGCCTGGACGTGCGGAAGTCTGGAAGGCTGGACGTCCAGAAGCCTGGAATTCTGGACTTCTGGAAGTCTGGATGCGTAGGCGTCTGGAAGCCCGGACGTCTGGAGGCCTGGAAGTCCGGAAGCCTGGAAGCCTGGAGGCCAGGACGTCTGGAAACCTAAACTTCTGGAATTCTGGACGTCTGGAACTCTGGACGCGCCTTGCGTGCCCGGCAGGGCCCTGCGGGGTGGCGCGTCGTCGTGCCCGTCGGAAAACGTCAACGGCTCGCGCGTCGGTTGCTCGAGGTGTCTCGCCGCCTTTCCGCGATTCGGAAGTGATTGCCAGCTCGGTCGGCTTCGCCGCGATTCGGGAGTGACTGCCGGCTCGGTCGGTCCCGCCCGCGGCCGTTCCGGGAACGGTATGGCCCGCACGGTATGGCGCGTGGCTGCGTGGCCCGGCCGTGCTCGGTGGCGCGCGCGGCTCGGCTCGGCTTGGCCCGCATGACACGCAAATCGGTAGAAAGTCCATGTAAAGCACCTGTCTAGCGCGGCCAGCCCCGCGCGGCGCGGCACGGCACGGCCCGCTGGGGAACAGGTGCGGGCACGAGATGGACTGCCAGATTGGAGGGAAGGGCAGCGGGGATGTCAGCGCGCGCCTGCCGCCAGCCAGCCCGCCAACCAGGCCTCCAGGCAGCCAGCCAGCCAGGCAGGTAGGCAGCCCGCAAGTCCGCCAGCCAGCCAGCCAGACGCAGACCGAAAATTCATAAAGGATGCACCTGAAAAAAAAAAATAGGCGTATCTTGAGGGTTTGGTTGTTTGACCAACAAATCTGAATTTTAAAATATGATTTGCACTAGTTCTGGTTTCCACAAAGCCCCGCAACAAATTTCCGGTATTACGTGCCTTCCTTCCTTTTTTCTTGTCAAAAAAAGTTTGAAAGAACAATTTTTGTTTCAACGCATACAGAGGGTGTTAGTTAGATTCGCGTGTTGCGTTGGTCGTGCCGCAACACTGTTAAAAATCATAAACTAGATCACTTTTTTTATTTTTTTTAGTCTTTTTTTTGTGAGGGTGTTTTAAGTAATTTGTGCAAGGTTACTGCGGCCACGTCATCGCAACCCTTGCCCCCTCCCCTTTTCCCGGAACCATTTGGCCGCATTACGTCTGGCCAGGACTAAGTACTCGTCCGCCCATCTGGGGACGCGCTGACCGTCCCGCCTGTCTGTCTGTCCGTCCGTCTGTCTGTCCGTCTGTCTGTCCGCCCGCGACTCTGATTGCCGCCCCGCACACGTCGCTGCCGCCGAGAAGACACGCGAATCCGGAAGAGTTATAGCGGCGGCATATGGCATTTCATGGCGTGGCGTGCTTTGCCGTGCCGTGCCTCGCCCGCCGCGGTGAACGGATTTCAAAGCGACTGTTACGTACGGCCAAATGCCGCAGCGGCCCGTGGGTGCAACGCATGGAATGTCTGTCCGAATTCCTGTCGCGGTTCCGTTTTGCCTTCTGTGTTCTTTCTTCGGGGTCAAGGGCGGATCCAGCGACGGTGTAAGGGCGGAATTTGCGTGTGACTGAGGCACAGTGCACTCTTAAAAGCCTACGAAGGATTTGCTTCATAACTACGAAGAAAATGAAGGCATTGTAGAATTGCTTCGTATTACGAAGGATTTTGCTTCATAATACGAAGCATTTCTTCGTAGATTTTACAATGCCTTCATTTTCTTTGTATTACGAAGCGATTCTTCGTAGAGTTTTTACTGTGTGGGCCAGAAGACCGGTGAAGGCGGCCGAAACTCAAGACGTGTTGTGAGCTCCAGAGTCGCTAAGCAGGCCTCGAACCGAACGTGTCACCCCACCAATGGATTGCTCTCCGAACGGGGAATCCATTGGTGGGGTCAATCGTTCGGTTCGAGTCCTGCTTAGCGACGCTTGAGCTCAAAAAGCGTCTGGAGTTTTGGCCGCCTGCACCGGTCTTCTGGCCCACTGCGCATCGCCTCCCCTGGAGGGGGTGACTGACTTTCGGCTCTCGGCGTGTCCGCCCGCCTTGTTTTCACCCGCGCGCGCTTTCAGTGGAAATGACTTGTTTAAAATCTCATCTCGGCGGCGCCGCGGACTCGGCGCCGCGGCCGTGGCGTGGGTGGCGGCCGGCAGACCGATTCCGAGAGTCGTCGCGCTGTCTCTCTCGCACCCATGCGGGGCGCCCCGCGAGTGCGAGAGAGACAGAGCGACGAAAACGACTCTCGGAATCGGTCTGCCGGCGGCCGATGCCGCGGGTGATATTGTCATTTTCACCGCCTCTGTGTTTGGAAGCGTGTCCGACTCGTGCGCCTTAAGCCGGACGGCCGGCCGGACGGAACTGGCGCCGCTTCCTCGGGACTGCACAGTTATGTGACCGCGCTCGCTGGGTTTTGCACGTGCATTTTGCCCCGTTTTTCGCTAAAAGCGAGTAGGGAAAAAAACGAAGTCAGAAGGTGTTTTGTCGGGGAATGGTGGGGCTCTCCTTCGAAGGGTTGGTTCTTCGCTCCATCTCCTTCTCACCCCTGCGGGACACCCCTAGAGTGCGACGGAGACAGCGCTTAGTGGGCCAGAAGACAGGTGGAGGCGGCCAAAACACTAGACGCGTTTTGAGCTCCAGAGTCGCTAAATGGGCCTCGAACCGAACGTGTGACCCCACCAATGGATTGCACTCCGAACGAGGAATCCATTGGTGGGGTCACACGTTCGGTTCGAGTCCCTCTTAGCGACTCTGGAGCTCAAAACGCGTCGAGGGCTTCGGCCGCCTCCACGGGTCTTCTGGCCCACCGTGCTGCGACGAAAAGGACCCTTGGAATGAGCGTGCTGTCGTGTGGCGCTGCGCGTGCCTGCCGTCTGATTCCGAGAGTCGTTTTCGGCGCTCTGTCTCTGTTGCACTCACGGGGCGTCCCTTGGGGTGCGAGAGAGACAGAGCGACGGGCCGGTCTCTCGGAACGAGGCGGCTGGTCGACGCACTCTGCGCTTTGGCAGAGTGACACACGCAGGAGTGGTTTCCAAGGACGCGGCGGTGCACGCCGGCCGCGCGGCAGACTGATTCCGAGAGTCGTCGCTCTGTCTCTCTCGCACTCATGGGGCGCCTGGTATGGGTGCGAGAGAGACAAAGCAAAGAAAACGACTCGGAATCAGTCTGCTGGTCTGGCTGGCCCGCCGGCCCTGTGTTCTGGTGGCGCGCCAAATGGCAGCGTGGCTGGACGTGTGTGACGATGCACAAGTGCCCTGTCGTGACCCTCCCCCCCCCTAAATTTCTCCCCGCCGAGGGACCGTCCGTGACAAGGTCCCCCTAATTTAGGGGCCTGCTTTTTCGACAGTTTGACCTCCCCTTTCTTGGACCACGCTTCAGTGGGACCAGTCTCGTGGGCCATAAATCCAGGCTCGTTTTGAGCTGTCCTGGAATTGGAGTAGAATCGCACTGGCAACATCATGAACCGAGTGACTAGGTTCATTCAAAGAATGGTACCTAGCTGTCACAACAAAGTATTTTGAGCTTCCTTCAGCAAGGGTGAAAATGCCTGTAGAGTCGCTAAATGGGACTGCACCGGTCATCTGGCCTACTGCGTGGTGCGGCCCTAAAATTGGCCTCGAATCGGACTTTCGAGAGTAACTGTGGATCGCTCTGCGTGCATGGGTGCCTTTTGTACAGTCGCGCATTTGAGATGAGAGCAGCGGGTAAAAATTTTAGCGTCGCGTACATGCCTCCGAATGGGAGCACGTAACACACGGACGGCCCGTAACCGCTCCCTGACTGACACGCTACAAATTGCGCCGAGTGTCTGCCCGACGCGCGCCTTAACGGCGGGGGGCGCGGCCAGGCCGCCGGACCTTGGTCTCTTGCTAATCATTGGCACCTTCGAGCGGCCGCCGAGCGGCGCACAGTGGGCCAGAAGACCGGTGGAGGCGGTCAAAACTCTAGACGCGTTTTGAGCTCCAGAGTCGCTAAACGGGACTCGAACCGAACGTGTGACCCCACCAATGGATTGCTCGTTCGGAGAGCAATCCATTGGTGGGGTCACACGTTCGGTTCGAGTCCCGTTTAGCGACTCTGGAGCTCAAAACGCGTCCAGAGTTTCGGCCGCCTCCACCGGTCTTCTGGCCCACTGTGCGGCGTCGCTCTGTCTCTCTCGCACTCATGCGGGGCGCGTGAAGGGAGCGAGAGAGACAGAGGCCGCTGGCCGAGCGGGCGCCATTTTTGTAGTTATTCGCGTCCGGAACATGCGCGAGCGCCCCTGGTGGCGGCGCGCCGAACTAGCTCGGGGCAGATACCTGGGGTGACTTTGCATGGGCATGGATAGGCGACAAGCCTCTCAGGGCCTTTCTTTTGATGAAGTTAACGTATTGTGAGGCCCGTTGTGATATTTCGGAAAGAACACACCTAACTGAACGACCTAGCAACCGCAAACAAAACACACAGAGTTTGTAGATTGTTTACAAGCCGTTAAAAGATGGAGGAACACGGGTATGCCGTCAGCGCCGACCAGCACGCCAAAAAGCGCAAAAGTAATTCCTCTACGTACTGTTGCGTTCCACAGTGCAATAATTACGCTCAAGAAGGATTGCGGTTTCACCTTTTCCCTAAAGAAAAAACTCTTCGAGAAGCATGGAAAGTAGTTTTGAAAATGGGAAAGCAAGTGACGAACTCTGACAGAGTTTGCTCAGAGCACTTCTCCCCCTCGGATTATTTGCCCCAAGGTGAGTGTCATCGAAATTTGAACCATTCTAATTAATATTGAAGGTCCACTTTTTATATTTCGAGGTTTGAATAAAGTTTGCTATGTTTTGTAGCTATTTAGTTGCAAGGCCAACCTCGCAGTGTTGGAACACTCTTATCGTAATGTCTGATGGTTGCTTTCTCATTTCTTGTAGCAAAGCCAACTGCTGTGCGTCATTTGAAGAAGATTGCTGTCCCCTCGCTTAAGCTACCAGTGAGGAGCTGTGATCGTCCTGAAAGTTCGCCTCGAAAGAAGCAAAGGATGGCTAGGAAGATGCGGGCAGCATCTCGACAGGTCAATGCAACCAGCCGTGATGAAGAGAAAAGGTGCAAAAGCAGAAAATTATTATTAGATGATTGATAGTTATAGACATCGATAACTATTCTGAAGTAATCGCTGAATTTGATCATTCAATCATGTTATACTACATTTTTTAAATTTGTTTTCTTGTTTTGCCTATTTATCAACTTTGTTTTAATCAAATTAGTCAATTCAATCAAATTTACTGAAATCAACTTTAGTTTAATCAACAGTGCTTTAATTAACTTTGCCATTTTTAAGTATCAATATTCAAGTTTTTTTATGAGTGAACTTAGGACTGTTTTGCTGAAAAATCATGTGTATTGTTTGTGTAAAATAGATGGAGTTTTCATCACCTTTTTTAAATAAATAAAATTTTGTCGCTAACCCCATTGTCATTTATAGGTTGTCAGAGGATGAGATTCTTGTGGTTGAGGAGGCAGACGTCATTGGCGGAAATGAGGAGGAGCAGCCCCATAATGAGCCACCCCCTGTCCCTACGAGAAAAGAAGTATCAACACAGAGTGAAAAGTTTTCACTCTTGAGCCTCATTCAGGAACCAAGCAAATTATTCACATTCACTGGGCTGAGTTCCTTTGAAACATTTGACAACATTGTCCTATGCACTGAAAGAATTATGCCAGATACCAGCAAATTTCTTCTCTCAGTTAGGCTCAGAGTGGCTCTGTGCTTGACAAAACTGAAATTGAATGTTTCATATGCAGCTCTTTCAGTTCTCTTTGGAGTGACCGATGAAACATGTAGTCACTATTTTAGGCACACTGTACAAGTTCTGGCAAACATTTTGAAAGGTGTGTTGTACTTTCCTTCCAAAGAAGAAATACTGGATAATATACCTAAATGTTTTAGGAAGTACGTCCACACAAGGATTGTTCTTGATTGTGCCGAGGTGCCTGTTGAAAAACCAAAATGTCTTAGAGAGAGAATACTCACTTACTCTCAATACAAAGGAAGGCATACTCTCAAGTTCTTGGTGGGTGTATCTCCATCTGGAATGATAACATTCCTAAGTTCTTTATTTGGTGGGAGAGCATCAGACAAGAGAATTGTAATTGAATCCAAAGTGCTTGATAAATGTGATTACAATGATGGTATCATGGTAGATAAGGGATTTAAAATAGATCAAGAGTGCCTTCTGAGGAATCTGAGACTGATCAGGCCACCATTTGTGAGGAAGAAGCAACCTCTCACCAAAGCAGAAGCACTACAGTGTGTGGATATTGCAGCAGCTCGTGTTCATGTTGAAAGAGCTATCAAGCAGTTACGAGACTTTGATATCCTTAGTGAGCAGGTGTCAGGGCACTTGGTTCCTTACATGAACCATATATTACGTGTTTGTGGTGCTCTAGTTAATTTGAGTTCTCCTATTCTGGCAATGGAAAGGTTCTAAAAATTTTGTTTCTCATAGCAAACAAATTTTAGTTAGACTGTTATTTTTTTTTTAAATTTTCTTGACTAACACAATGTTTTATGCCATCATAATTGTAACAAAGCTAACTAGTCATCCAGTCAGTTTTAATTGTAACAATGATAGGAAAGCTACAAATACTTGTCAAGTCTAGTCTTACCAGTCACAAGAAATGACACATTTCAGTGAGGATTAAAATGTATTTGAAAAAGCAAGTACTCATCTTAGAATAAACATATTCTTACATTTCATTCAAGTTCTTCTTCGTCTTCTTCTTCATTGCCGGATTCCACAGACATTTTTGTGTACAGATAAGGAAGAATTTCACTAAAATAGATATCTAATACTGGTTTTACAGTATCATACATGAATTTGTCATCATATAACACACACTGAGATACGAAGGTATCATCCATACTAGAGTAAAGTATAAAATCACATTTATCTAAACCTGCCAACAACATTGCAAGTTGGACTTGTCCATGGAATTTGTGTTTCTTCTTTAGTTTACGTTTCTGGCAGCAGTCAGCAAGCTTAGGCAATTCTGAAGCAGTCACAGTTTTCCCTGCCACGAGACACTTAATTTCAATGACTTTTTGAGGTTTCTCTTCATCGTCAACTACCACACCATCCACACTGGTGCCAAGCCATGGTACATCAGGATGAACTAGGATACCATTTTCAACAACTTTAACACCACATTTTTTAGCATAAGTTGCCCTGGCCTTTGGCTCATTTTCCAAACCATACATTGTAGCAGGTGTACCTTTGAATTGAGAATTGAACACTTTCTCTAATTTTTTTCCCCAATCAGCTTTCTTGTTTTTGGTGTATGTGGACAGAGGGTAAACTCTGGTTCCTGTCACCCTTACTTTCCGTGCTACGTCCCACATCTCTTCGCATTGAGTTGCTGTGAATGAGGCCAGCATAACAGACTGCTGAGTGGAAACAACAACATTTTTGTTGTAAAATTCCAAAAGGTCTGGAGAGAGAGCATTTACTCTTGCATCAGTCAGGGCCTTAAGCTTCTTCAAACAAGAAAATTTTGTATTATCCAGGAGAGCTTCAGTGAGTTTCCCAGCTGATTGACGCCTATTATCTGCTTCTGAACTTAAGGTGTCTGAGCTACAAGTCACAGCAGATAAAACAGCTCGTGCTCTTGTTGAGTGTAAATATGACTCACTCTTCGGAGCTCCTATGAAAGAAAATAGAAAAAGGTATAAACTTTGAAGCAAGTCACACACAATACAACGTCTAGTCAGAGGTATTTCTTGTACCTTGAATGATCAGTTGGGCAAATTCAAGGGCCAATTCATCAGATACATCTGGGATTCCTTTCGCATAGATAGGTTGAGGTGGTATGAAGTGGCAGAATTTTGTCAATGGTACAGCTTCAAACTCTGATAGTGACGTCTTCTTCAGTTTGCCCCATTGTTGAGTTAAGTCTGTGCAGCTCAGATCCTCCAAATGTGACTCGTCATCAAGTCTAGAAATATTAACAATTATTTATAATCTAAAACACAGATCAGATTCAAACAGTGATGTTCAAAAGAAAATAACAAACCTGTTCAAGTACATTAGAAGTGCGATGCAGTGCTTACACTTTTCGGACTGTCCAGCCTTACAGCTGCATTTTATTTTAACTACCCTTTTCGACGTTGATCTCAGATTAAGGGATGCTTCGATGACATGGGGTGCGCCGGACAAAGTTGATGATTGAAGACAGAGGGCCCAAACCTTGAGCACCCGGTTGTCCGAGACCCCCAGACTGCCTACGGTTATGAGCATTTTCCCTTCCAGCACACGCTCCCCTTCAATTAGACATCTTATTCCCTCATTGGTGGCCCCTACCACGTCGGAAATACTAGTGAGCGGCATTTTCGTTCATAAGTGTGTCTTAATTTAAAGCAAACAAAGCCCACCAAGTCCGTGTTTACATGTATAGGCTTATGGGGGCGCCTTCCAGTATCTGCCTCGAGCTAGTTCGGCGCGCCGCCACCAGGGGCGCGCGCATCTACGTTCCGGACGCGAATTGCTTCTGACGAAGGCGCGAGGGGGCATGCGATCTAGATTCGACTTTCTGCGACCTTTGTGCTGTTGCAGTTATTGGGGCGTTTGCGTTGTCTCCGGCCGACTAATTTGATATCGTAAAGGAGATACTGCCGTGCCACGGCATGGCTCAGCACCGGCCGAGGTGTTACTGCATTCGCCGCACAGTGGGCCAGAAGACCGGCACAGGCGGACACAACTCTAAACGCGTGAGCCACAGAGTCGCTGAAAGGAACTCGAACCGAACGTGTGACCCCACCAATGGATTGCCCTCCGTACGAGGAATCCATTGGTGGGGGTCACACGTTCGGTTCGAGTCCCGTTTAGCGACTCTGGAGCTCAAAACGCGTCTAGAGTTTTGTCCGCCTGCGCCGGTCTTCCGGCCCACTGTGCGCCGCCCGCGTTGGCGAGGCAAGGCCTAGGCCGGTCACAAAAGGTGGCAAAATGACCGGGTCGACGCACAAGGGTGCGTTCTTGACATTCCCGAGTCTAATGTAGGTGAACGCACTCACTGTAGAGTCCTCTGGGTGGATCGACCTGCAGACTGATTCCGAGAGTCGTTTTCGTCGCTCTGTCTCTCTCGCCCTCATCGGCGTCACCTGTAGGTGCGAGAGAGACAGAGCGACGAAAACGACTCTGGGAATCAGTCTGCTGACCTCACCAGCTCGGACGACATTTTTAAGCACCCGTGGAAAATCCGTGCTCCACGAAGTGATGACGGCTCAAATTCCGGGTCATTGGTTGAACTCGGGTTTACCGAACGCCTCTTTGGAGGGATTGAACCTGGGTTTGTTGAACGCCCCTCGGCAGGGATTCGGAGTGTCTTGTCTCGATGTCTCTGTCTCGCTCGGGGCACGGCCCGTGAGAAAGAGAGAGAGAGAGAGAGAGAGAGAGAGAGAGAGAGAGAGAGAGAGAGAGAGAGAGACCCCAGAGCTTGACCCGCGACTCCTTGGCCGCGTGCCAAAGCCCCGGCCGTCGTGGACGTCGTATGGAGCCCCGCGGACGAGGGAGTCGAAGTAAAATGACGCGATAGAGACATCGACTGCGTAAATAAAAACAAGAAATGTTAAAAAAATTGGCACTGTTAAATCCTCACGAATTATTTCAGGCAATAGCTTGTTATAACGAAGTATTTTGCGCGTACGTAAGCTAACCAAGAAAATACTTCTTAACTTATGAACCAATTCTTCGTGTAACTATTTAAATAGTTTGTTTTGTATTTTACGTGTATGCTCATAATACTTCTTGAGGTTTCCAGCGTTCATTTCTAAAACGTCTCGAGTGCTTTTTCTTTTTCTGCTGCGTTTTTGTTGTTGTTGTTGTTGTTGCTGGTTCGGCGCGTTGCTGCGCGTTGCATTGTGGGCTCGCCCCTTTATAAATCCCTTCCGCACGGCCAGACTGGCGCGTCAATCGATGATGAGGCCCTTTCTCCGGGCGCGAGGACGGCCAGCGCTCCGACGGACAACGCTCCGAAGAGCGGACAACGCTTCGACTGAACACGCTCGAATGAACGGACAACGCTTTCAAGGGGAAATAACGCCAGCCAAATTTGTACACCAAAATTCATCAATCTTGGAAAATTTACTGAAATTCATCAAAATTCATCGAAATTCATCGAAATTCAATTGAAAATCATCGAATTTTGACTGAAATTCATCGAGTTTTGACTGAAATGAATCGATTTGCGACTGAAATTCATCGGATTTTGACTGTAATTCATCGGATTTCGACTGTAATTCATCGGATTTCGACTGAAATTCATTGGATTTCGACTGAAATTCATTGAATCTCGACTGAAATTCATCGAATTTCGACTGAAATCCACTGAAATTCTACTTAAGTTTACTGGAATTGTACACCGAAATTCACAGTGATTTCCCCTTGAGCGCTTCGACTAAAAACGCTCGAAAGAACGGACAACGCTCCGATGGAGCTTTTTATTGCTTCTAAAAAGTATCGGAATCGCAGTTGAGAACAGCCATAAACAGTCTTTAGAAAAACACAAAAACAGGCAAAATTTGGGAAATTTCGGCTTTGTTGCCCATGCTATTACGGACACAGTGACCCGACTATCATGCGGCTCCGCCTTGAAACGCTCGAAGAACGGACAAACGCTCGAACTAGAAACTCGCGAATGGACGCAGCGCTCAGATGCCTTAAGACACGCATAAAACACGCTCGCATAATGACTCTGATTAGCGCGACCATTTCTTTCCGTTTGGCTTATTTATGCCGCACTTGGCCTCCAGAGAGAGAGAGAGAGAGAGAGTCTGTGTGTGTGCTGGCTCGCTGACCCGTACAGATGGCTGTCCTTTGGATTGTGCCGAGCGGACAGGTACTGATCGGCGTTGCCACTGCGACCGCTCGCGCGACCTTGATGGGGCGTCTGGCTTTTATCCCCGCGTGGCTTTGCTTTTGAGTGGATGTTTTGCTGCCCCGCTGCGTTTTAGCGTGCAGACTGATTCCGAGAGTCGTTTTCGTCGCTGTGTCTCTCTCGCACTTACTCTCATTCTCCATGAGTCCGAGAGAGACAGATCGACGAGAACGACTCTCGGATTCAGTCTGCAGGCTGGGTGGCCGACCTACCGATCAGGGCGTTGGCTTGCTCGTGTCCCAGAGCCTCGTCTTTGTCAACGACACGGCAGCTCTGCCTGCGCCCAAGGATGGCGAAAATCTCAAATCCCTCGACGCAAATCAGTCAACGGTTGACGCAATTTGCTTTTGACACCTGTACGATACCAGATTCCCATAAACGCCGTATTGGACATAACTGTCTTAGAAGTCTAGCGTGTATGTTTTCTTTATGTTCTGTGTTTTCGTTTTGCTGGGCGTGGCCGGTTTTTTTGGCGGTCGTCCGCCTCGGTCGCGCATTCGTCGCGCGCAGGATATTGGGAGCCTCGGAACCCGAACTTGAAAATTACCGTTTTTGTTGCTGTTGTTGTACAGTGGGCCAGAGGACCGGTAGAGGTGGTCAAAATCCCGGACGCGTTTTGAGCTTCAGAGTCGCTAAGCAGGACTCGAACCGAACGTGTGACCCCACCAATGGATTGCCCTCCGAACGAGGAATCCATTGGTGGGGTCGCACGCTCGGTTCGAGTCCTGTTAAGCGACTCTGGAGCTCAAAACGCGTCCGAAGTTTTGGCCGCCTGCACCGGTCTTCTGGCAAATCCACTGTGTTGCGGGGATGCCGTGACCCCGGAAACGTCCGGGCTTTCGATAACACGGCCTCGGTGCTCGTCCAGCGGTGCGGCCGCCACAGCCTCGGCCGGCAACACACTGCAAAAGTCTGCCTGCTTTGTACAGCAGCCGTTGTCGCGTTCCAAGCTCGCAGCCGCGGCTGCCTCACGTCTTCTAGCCGCGCCTGCTACGCCACGCGTTACAGCCAATGCTGCCGCGTGTGGCGTTGCAGCATTGGCTGCTACGCGCGGCCGTTGCAGCCAAATGAGCGCCGCGGCAAAACATTCGGCGCGAGGAGTTGAACCCCCTCCCTTCCGACTCGGAGCGCACCGCGCTACCCCGAGACTATCGGACTCGTTGTGGGAGGGAGGTGCATGGACCGCTCATAGCCCGAGCGCCGGTGCGCTGGAGGCAACGCGTGGTGGGGGGGCAGCCAAGGGGGTGCGGAAGGGCGGGGTAGCCTGTCTGCTTTACAAAGCAGCCCGGCCTGCCAAACGGCAGTGGCTGCAACGCGCGGCTGTTGCAGGAGCAAAGGCAGCAAAGGCTGCCACTTTTACAGCAGAATGTGCTGCTACGCGGCCGTGTAGCAGCCAAATTGGCTGCCACACGCCCGCGTAGCAGGCACCTTTTTGCCGTGCAGTCCGCGGTCGGCCGCGCAACGGCAGCAACAGCGGCGAGCTCTGCCGTCCGGGGAGCGTCTCTCTGTCTCTGTCGCACTCGTTGGGTTTCGGCGAGGAGTGCGAGAGAGACGGATGAGCGGCCGTTGGCTCTGGGTTGCGGCGTGCGCTCGGTGCTCTGGTTGCTCGGGGCAAAGGCCCCTCGGTACACGGCAGTAGGTCGAGCCCCAGCTTGTGCCCGCGACCTTGCTGCACCCCGCCTCGCCCCGCCTCGCCTCGCCCCGCCCCCACCCCACCCCACCCCGCCTCGCCTCGCCCCGCCCCGCCTCACCTCACCCCGCCCCGCCCCGCAGTGATTGATTTCTTGGCCGGGATTGTTCTGCACAAAGTAAAGCAAGTTTGCGAACGCCTGGAGCGATGTGCGCACGCGCAGGGCAGTGCAGGTCAGCGCGGAGCCCTCTCTCTCTCTCTCTCTCTCTCTCTCTCTCTCTCTCTCTCTCTCGCACCCACTCGGGTCGCGCCGGGAGTGCGAGAGAGAGAGAGAGAGAGAGAGAGAGCCGCGCGGTGCGTATCGCCCTATGCGTGCGGCGGCCCGTTGCGGCGCTACACTGCCAAGGTCTCCAAAGGGCGGGCCTTTTATTCGACCCGTTTACGACCGGTCGCTATCTGTCTCTCTCGCACCCGGACGGCTCGCCCCTTGAGTGCGAGAGAGACAGAGCGGCGGATCGACGGGGTCGGAGGTGTCGTGTCCGCCGCCCGCCGGGCCTGCCGGCTGCACACTGTAAGGCGTGCAGTGCAAGGCGCCGCCGACATAGTCGCTCGGCCTTCAACTTTTTCCTCGCTGCACTAGTTTTAATGCGAGAGAGAGAGAGAGAGAGAGAGAGAGAGAGAGAGAGAGAGAGAGAGAGAGAGAGTGCTTACGTTTCGGTTACGGAAGCGCGGCTTCGGTGGACACGCCTTGTAGGCCGGCTTGCTGCGCTGGATACAAATAGGAAAAAAATCGCCGTGTGTGTGCGTGTGTGTGTGTGTGTGTGTGAGCGTGCGAGTGTGTGTGTGCGTCTGAACAGAGCCCCCTGCGCTAATCCGCACAGCGCACCGCCTGGATCGTGCCCGGCTCGGTGCCGGCTGGCCGCTGTGCCCGCGTGTCCCGGCTGGGCTTTACTTGGGCGCGGCCGCCGCCGCTG